TTCATTTACTTGTCTTTCATTTTATTCCCCTGACTCTTTGAGCCAAGAGCTATGTTTTTGATATGTGTTAGACAGGAAGGCTCTTAGCCTCACTTGGGTCCTCAGGCATTTTCATGATCAAGACTGGAATAATCTTGCATCCAAGCCTAAACCCTGGATCTAGCTGCTCTTTACCCCTGTGCCAGTTACAGAATCGTAACTTTGGGAATCTGTTTGTTGATCTTGCCGAGCAGATGCCTAGCAGGACAGAAAAGTGCTGATGTGCACTTAGCTGCAGAGGTCAAGAGCCTACATAAAATAAACCCTGCAGGTGCAGCAGCAAGTCCTGCCCACTGCTTGGCCTATGGAGATTCCACTCATTTCCTGGTCTCCTGGGCAGCTTCTCTAATCCAGCAGTGATGGCACTGGCTTTTTTTTTTTTTTTTTTTTTTTAAATAATGATGGTAATGGTCCTTGATTAGCCCTGGATGCCTACACAGCTTCAAGATGGCAATAAAAGTTCTTTGGCTGGGTTGTCTTCTGATCTTCGCTATGCTCATTCCTACTTTTGGCAGCTTGTGTGGGAGTAAATGTGCACCACCAGTGGCAGAGTTCTTGTTTCCCACTGCTGAAGGTGACCAAAAGTGTTTTGCTAGTCAGTTAGGAAATCACTGTAAGCAGATCAGTGTAATGAGATTCTGAAGCCATATGGCACTGGAATTAGTGCCCTCTAGTGCAGTGACTGCATGCTGTAACCGCAACAGTGCTGTACACTAAAAGTAATTTCAAGAGCAGAGATATTTTGCTCTGCTTATTCTTTAACTCCTTGGGGCTTAAAACAGTGCCTGGGATGTAGCCCTTGATTTAAAAAGGAAGAGGGGGGAATGCTGGTCTGCTTTTTATTAGTTGTAAGAAAATAAATGGAAGTTAATAGAAAAGACCAGTTTCAGTTTCCTAGCTGAACAGTGGAACGGATGTTACCTGTAACAGCACTAAGTGTGCTCTGAAAATAAACCTTCACATCAAGCTCCTGAAATGCCTCATGGCTTATGAGATTCATGGTCTGGATGGTGGGGAAGGCAGAAAGAAGGTCACGGAGGTATATGCAAAAGGAATGGTGTGTTTCAGCATAGCTATAAAAGAACAGTTCAAACTTCAGATAAAACATCACATGAAAAACAGGACAATGTGAAGATGGGGTTTCAGGAACAGCAAGGGGTTTCCCCTTAGCCTCTCTGTGTATCAGTCTTAATAGCAGCACTGGATTTAGATCCCATATTTCTCAGCCTTGTAGAGTATTCTACAGAGGTGGGGAGAGCTGCTGGTCTTCATCAAGAAAAATCCTATTTATTCATGATCTCACTGTTTGGTTTTTTTTGTTTGTTTTTAAATAATTGGTAGATTGGAGAGACAATTTTTGAGTCTTGTCTACTAGACTTTCTTGATGGTTCTTACAAGCCTCTAGGGATGTCTGTTTCCCCTCAATTGTTTTAATGACTGTAGGGGTAAGTTGCAAACAGGGAGCATTTTACAGTATTTTCTAGCTGCCTCATTTGCACCTGCAGCAGAAGCAAACTTCTCTCCCTTCTTCCTCTGGCACATAAATGCCAAACTCAATTCTTGACTCTTCACAAGAAATTATGCCCATTGTGCCCAGTATCATTGAGATCCAATGTGTTCATTGCATGTTTCATGCTTAACAGTGATACCAACCCTTGGGGCACTGCTTTTTTGGAGCAGAAGTATGTTATTTCACAAGAAGAGATATGGGACTGAAACTGATTTAACTGAGTTGACTTTAAATTTATGACAATCCTCTGGCCATACAGAAATGACAGCAAGCACCTCCCAGCAAGCTCCAATTCCAAGGTGAATTGGTATTTCTAACGAAACTAGGAACTAGTGCAGTTCCTCAGGAAGTTTTGGTTAATGGCATCTAAGGATATCTGGGTGTTTGGTTTGGTTTTGGTTTTTTTTTTTTTCATTTCTGATGACACTTTCTTACATCTATTTACTTGCTTATTCATTGACAGACCAACCCAGATGATGTTGCTAGGCAATGCTGGCAATTCATGAGCAGAAAATGTTCTCGTAGCTTTTCTAAACATTTTGCTATGGTCGTCTGGAGCAGCGGGAAAGTAACTTCCCTCCATTCTGTCCCAAGGAAGCACGCATGCCATTTTCTGTAGTCCACTATACTATTCTGCATGTGAAGAACAATAACTTGCTTTCAGACTGATACCTTTTAGCTAATGGAGGAAAATTGTGAAGCATCAATTATCCACGCTGAGTGCATGTTTGGTAACATGTTACTTTTTTTTGCAAGCCAGCCTCTCCAGCAGCTCCTGTGCAGATACATCCAGAGCAGTATAGAAGGGGTAGTTTGTGTGGTAGGAAACAGTGCAGATCTCGTAGTGCTCCCATGTCAGAGCTTTCTGATAGTGTCAGGAAAAGCTAGCCTGGCTGCTGGTGGAGTGTAAATGAAACAAAACGTACAGAACAATAAATAGATCCTTCTGTCCATCCATGCTAGCCTTTGCAGCATAGCACTCAGTCCCTGAGGTGATCCTAATGTGCCCTGTAAGCTAAAGTCAGCTTATGTTTTGTCTAGAGCTGGGTGGTGGCAGTGGTACCCCCAGGCATCAGAGATGTGTATTTAGCATTTCAGTGTTTCCTAGGGGAAGTGAAAGATTTTAGTTTTCCTGGTGTGTGCTGTGGCAACCTGTGCTTCAGACACTCACACCTAGAGGAGATTTCTTGCATCCCACTTCCAGCATTGTCCTGGCTGTAGGACTGTTGTAATTTTGACCCTGGCTAGCAGCAAAACACCACAACAAGCATCAAATCTCCCCCTTGGAACAGAGTCTCTCACAGATCCTTCCTGTTGCTAAGCACGGGGATACTGGTGGCAACAACAGATGCAAGGGAGGATAGCAGAAGTGTATTGTCACAAATGCTGGTTTCTCCCCCACTGTGTATCTATGTATGTGCAAGGTTGAAGTGCCATTATTCTTTGTATGTCAGACATGCACATGAAAATTGTCAGAAAACTTATTTTCCAAGGCAGCTCATGTTTGCCTGTGTATGGAAGGACACCTTGAGCTCCTGTAATGCAAGAAAAGAGGATGGAAGAAAGGCTTGAAGAGAAAACTTTTGGGTTATGTTTCTAGTTTTCTTATCTCGTGATGACAGTTTTCTACAATTTAATTCTGCCTTTTGCGCTCCCTGTCTGTAAAATATTGCAGTCCCCTGGAGATTTCTCAATTGAAGCTCTAATAAATATTTTAAAAATGCTAATGAATCAGGTCACCCAACAGCACAATATGTCCTTGTCCTCACTTTGCAGGCAGGGTTTTGGCAAAAGCAAAGAGCAGGAGGGTGACCAGCTTCATGCCAAGGGGCAGATTTTGTGGGGAGGAGCACAAATCTTTTACTTTAGGAGTGGAGATCTCCTTTACAGCTTCATTTCATCAAAAGGAGAGGTCTTGAGACTCACTGCTTTTCAGGCCTGGTAGCTGTTTTACTGCATGGTCAGTTTGTGTGTGCTGGGTTAGAGAGATGAAACAGCTTACAGTGTGGTTGGGGAGCAGTAGAGCTGGCAGGGGAGAAGCTGCAGAAGTTCGTGGAATGGGGAGGAAGAAGAAGACCCGAGTTGACTTCCATACGGTTCAGCTTACAGGCGTTCATCCCTGCCCATGTGGGTGTTCACCATTTTAGTAATGGCATCATGTGAGGCTTTTTTCTCCTGGGCATCTTTGTCTCCTCTAGTTCATTTTCTAATTTGTATGAATTAGGGTTCTCCTTTCCCACTCCACATCTAGGGATCAGCCGTGATCTGAGAGAGCCGTGAGGTGAACACTGGATGCGACAATGTAAAGTGCCAACAGGCAAAGACTCTCCTGGCCTGTGTATAAGATCCTTGCAGGAAGCTTGTTCTGTGGTCAGGTCCCTGCAGTTGAGCTCTGGATTGCAGCTCAGCCCTGATTCATTAGGTTCTCATTGTATTGTTTGCACTGTCACCAGTGCTGGCTTTGTGCCTGTTCAGGCATCTCCTGTGCAGTTCCCACCCCAGGGAAGGCTCCTTTTTATGTCACTGCATCAGGATTGAGTGCTCTCTGCACTCAGTTCCCCAAGCACTAGTTTCTTCAAAAGACTCTCTGACTAGTGATTTGTATTATAGTAATTGTTAAAAGGGAAAAAAAGTAAACTTAAATATCCAGCACCTTCAAAGAGATATTTCTAAATGTATGTTTCAAATCTCTCATTTTGATATCAAACTGATGGATCCAACTTATTTTTCAAAAAATTTGGGTGGGCAGAGCATATCTGCCAGCAGTATTTCCCTCCTGTCCTCCATTTGCTACTCTGTTCATTTAGATTATCAGATCTTATGGGCAGGGACTGTGCACAGCAGCAGAGGGCTTTCCTGTACAGTTGCAGCCTCCCAGTATCACTGCCAGACATATGAGTAATTGGTTGAGCAGCTCTGCAGAGCAGTCTCCTTGCACCATCCAAGCTGAAATGCAGAAGTAAAAAAATCCATTCTCATCGATGAAGAATCATAAAATCGTAAGCCCAAAAGGGACAAAAAATAATGAAGAAAAACCTTTTCTTAAAGAAAAATTCTTTGTGGACATATCTGGCGTGCTCTTTAAGAGACATTCTGTGATCTTTCAAAGTGCTTCTGGGATCTTCTCTCGTCATTGTCGCTTATAAGATAGCTTTAAATTAATGATAAGGAAGTCATTCAGGGCATGGGCTGTGCTGAGGTTCACAGCTTTCATTCTGAATGAGAGAATAAAGTAAACTGATATTGAAAGCAAGGAGCGAGAAACAAACACAGTCAGTAAGCCTATAAAAGTCTTAGCCAATTGCAATGGCGAGCATCCTGCTGGCGAGGGTGACCTTGAATGAACTAAGTGGGATAAAGTCACCAGCCTGGACTGACGGCTGAAGAATCAGGCTGGATTCCAGCAAACTGAGGGAGCAGATTCCTGACAAGAGTCTCCTGAGCTGTGGCAATGGCTTCTCGGTGTCGGAAATGTGGACAACAGGTGCCCAGGAATCCACCTTTCACTGCTGTCCGGATAACAGAAGGAGAAATGAAATCTTATCATGATTTCATAGGAGGATGCATTAGACTGGAGCGCATGGCAAAGAAAGGTATGTGCAGCATCTTTAAAAGAAATAGCATCTTCCCTTAGCGGCAGCTGCATTGCATTCCTAGGAGATTTGCAAAATGAGATTATTTTTCTAACTCTTTCTCTGAGGAGTCGGTGGTAAATAAAGACAACTGTCTGGATTTGGATATTAACTCAGATATGAGTGCATCACTTGGCTTGGCTGTATATTTCTGGGATATTTGCAGTAATTTGACCTAGAAGAGGTTAAAATGAATGCTAGACTCATTCTGAATAAATATTAATTTCACTTGGGTGTTAGACACTGAGGCTTCTGTGTATGTCTGGAGCAGGTATTTGCTGTGCATGTAAAATACTTTTTTGAAATGAAGGTAAGGGGATGGGGCAGTGGGCTTCATGACACAGCTGAACCTGTCATCCTGTGCTCCTGAATTACTGTGTAGAAGGTCAATATCTTTCTTGCTGTAAAGATTCTGGTCTCACTGTATTCGTAACAGAAACTCAGACTGCATGAGTCAGTCTGGCTACAGGGCAGTATTCCACTCCAAGTGGGTTGCTAGTGTAAGATGCTGGTGTCCTGGCAATTTGTGCTAATTGCATGTTAACTCTGAAGTGGAGCGATGGTGGTCGAAATCTAGGCTGTTGACTGTTTAGTCACATTTCAAGATTGCTGAATCATAGAACACTTTTTCTCTGCATGTCATATGAGGGAATGATTAACCAAGGAGCCCTTTGGTTTGCTCTGTTAACTTGAATAAAAACTTAGCAAACCTCAAATTCAGAAATTTATAATGTGTTCACTAGTACATGTCAAAAAGAACTCCAAAAACAGGAAATATGATTGTACTTACAAGTTGAATTGTTTATTATTATTTAATTAGCTCTTCAGCAGAGAGTTGCACTCAGCCTGGTAAATCGAGAATATTCTGCAGAAAAAGATGTGGACCAGAAGCAGGTCATCTGCTGGCAGCTACTGCTTACAAATTGGGGTTTGCAGATGCTTTCTTTAATAGGGCTCTGACGCACAATGCCAGGGTTTGAAAACTGCAAAGCCACTCCATTGTACCTCTGCTTCTGTCAGCCGTCTATCCGTGCTGATCTTTGGGCTCTGTGCCTACCTATGTGTTGTTGTATTTGGCTGACCTTTCGGTAACACCGATGGTTCCAGTTGCGCCCTTTGTAACAAGGCATTCTGAGTTCAGCGTAGCATGGCAGAAATGTCTGGTATCTGAGTAAAAGACAGAACAGAATTAATTGAAATTCCTTCCTGAATCTTTGATCAGGTGCTTCCAGGTTGCTTACAGCTTTGGGGGCCCGCAGGCCTGCTGGAGGCAGAGCTTGGGCATCAGCTGTTCTTTTTCTTCCTGTAGGTAGAAAGGGGAAGACACTGGTAAGAGCTTTGCCATGGTTACGGTTCCCAGGGAAACACCTTCCCTGCCTCTCATGTTGAGAGATGACCTGACATAGTATTATGAGTGGAAATCCCTTGGAAAATCATTTGCTGCTAGAGAACAGATAGTATGTCAACTAGTCTGAGCCTATTGCTGTCTTCTGAGGCAGAAGCATCTTTGTGCTTTTGTTTTAACTCGGACAAAAGAGGCCACGGGAGGGGAAGAAGTTAGGTTATTGCAAGGGACAAGGTGCCTTCAGCTGCATGCATTAGAGTTGTGTGAGCTGTGAGAACACATCAGTGACAACTCTGCATGCAGTGACCATGCTAGAAGGGGGCTAAGGAGCTGGCAATGTGGCACAGGAATTCATAATAACAACACTGCCTGGGTTCTTTTCTCCTGCTCTGAACTGACTCTGACCCTGTACTCATCTCTGTCTTGTTTTCACCTTAGTTTTCTTATCTGTAAAGTAGAAGCAGAGGGAATTACCTGCCTGATAGTGGATCCTGATGATGTAGCTATGCCCATCCTCTGAAGATTAGGCCACTTTCTCTTTGCAGGAGGTGCTGCATAAGCACAGGGGAAGGAAGATGATCTGTCCAACAGAACTTGAGCTCTGCCTGCCCCATCTTGCTAGTCCTTTGCTACTACCAAAGACAAACTCTCAAGGTGGATGTATGCCTTTTCCTTAGGCTGATTCTGTCTGACCAGAGTGGCAATGCAGCATCATGGATCTCTGTGGCATGTTCTGACTTGACTCTCACTTAGGGGTACCCTTTCTGCAATGTAAAGATTCAGCTGGAGTGTTGTAGAGGACTAACCGGCTGGTGCTTACCCAGAGCACCAGGTACTCCAAAGTATGAAGCTTTTTTCACATACAGACCACATTTGTGGAGCCCTGTGAATATTCTGTGGCAATTTTATCTCTTGTACTACATATCATACCAAGAAGGGATGGAAGGCACGCAGGTACCTACAGCAGCAATAGCAGCCACGTGGGTGCAGTCAGGCCCGGGGTAGCCTGCAGGTAAGCTGCCTTTCCCCAGCAGTGCCGCACAGCAGGCAGCGCTGGGCCAAGCTATGCCAGTTCCTGCATCATGCAAGTTCAAGGCTTCCTTTGCATCATTGTGATTTGTTTTGATGTGTGGTTAAAAGTATGTTTTTAGTCTCCTGTTCATGTAAAGAGATTAAAACAGTGAATGCTTACAAAAAGACAGTGCCACTGTGAGGGGGCAGTTGAAGGGCACTTTCTATGGCCCCATGGTGACTGCTTAGAGCTCCAGAGCCCTGGCTCCCTGCAACAGGCTGAGGAAGGACCTTCCTGTGTGAGCCGGCCTATGGGTGCTGAACCCTCTGGGGTCTGATGTACAAATGGCACTGTTTTTAGCAGCAGTATGTGACCTTGAGACTCTCTGGGAGCTGCAGCTCCACGGTGCTATAACTGACAACCAAGAGGAAGGAGTCCCCAGAAAGCCAAGCAAGAAATGTGGCAGGGACTCCAGTCCAGCACTGGTCCTCCTTGTAGTGCTCTCAGTTCCTCACAAAAGAGACACTGAAGCTGAAGGCAAAGCATAGCCTCTTGTAATGAAATACATCATTCTTGGACAGTGGCTCATGTGCCTTTTCAGCACTAACGTGACTATTTGTGTCACCCAGCTGCTGCTTCACATCTTTTATGCTTGAGGACACCTCCTGCCAAAATGTCCCCTCTGTCCCCAGATGCATTTAATTAACTGCCTTTTTATGATGCTCAAGTCCTCCAATGGGACCACACAGCTACCGGGGCTCAACAGGGATGGGTGAGCATTTGCTGGTTAGGCTATGTTTCTGCATGCTGCGGAGCCTGAGGCTGCATCCAGATTATATATTTTTAAGTGAATAAATGTGTGGTTTTTATCTGTGCTCAAGGCTGGTGGCTGCGTAAAACAGGGTAATGAATCTGCAGACACTAAGGAGTATGCAGTTCATTACTGAGGTTATTCAGGATTTCAATGTTGCTGCAAAACCAGACAGGATGCTCCTTGCCAGTAGGATGGGGACCTGTCTCTTGCACTGAGTATTTCTGATTTTGTCCTTCTGTAGGACAGAGGAATGCTGCAGTTCTGTTTGTCCAGCAATCATGGACACTTGTTCCTGGTCCTGCTGCTGTGTCTCTCTTACTGCTGGAAATGAAAAGCAAGTCTTCATATCTATCTGTTCAGGGAGGAAAAGGGATGGAAGTACTGGAAATGGTTTTAGAGCAGTTAAGGATTTAAAGATAGATAACAGCTTCTAGGGTGATATCTCCAGAAGGATATCCCATCTGAATGATATCAGGCTGAAATTTCTTGGACTTTTTGCAGCTTCTCCACCTTCAATATTAAAATAAATAAGAAATTTTTTGCTTTCCCACATGGCTGAAATTTCTACAAAGGTGCTGGCTGCTGGGGAAAGGGACTCTTTGATGTGAAGACTGAAATCTGCAGTGTAAGTGGAAGGTGTTTCTAAACCTCTTGAGACTTGGTCACAGTGCCTCTTCCTGCATTGCTCAGAATTTTTGTTGGTTTATTTATATTCAACAGCTATTTTTATCTTTAATGTAAAATGCTACCTAGGGAACCTGGGATAATTTCATCTGTCTCTCACTGCAAAGAAAATAGCGAAAATAAAATATTCTGTTTTCCATAGAGCTTTTTCTAGACAAAGATCCTTATCTTAGATGCTTGTGTCTCTTTTCACCTTTTCCCATTGATACACAGCCTGCTCTGCTGCTATTGAACAATACTGAACCCTGTTTGCCTAATCAGAAAAATCCATAGAATGATGATGAAAATAGGAAAGGCATAGCTTGATTTCCATTTAAAAAGAGTTTTGAGAGATAAGTAGCACTGAGAAGATCAAGAGAACAAATTCTCAGAGGGCAAGTTATAGCAGGGGCCTCCTGGGTATTTATGTTTTTCCTTCCTCCCATGATACCAGAACAAGAAACAACTTGGCGAAATGGAAAAGCATTAAACACAGATAGACAGATTGCTGTAATTGGTAATGTTTTGTTAACTTGTGAGACTTATTGCCACAAGATAATAGCTCCGTTTGCTTTTTTTTTTTTTTTTTTTTTTGCCTAACTTGTAGTGTAAACTGTCTGGGGAGATTTCAGGGGAAAATGGTGCTGAATGTAGTGGGAGGTTGAAGAGTGTCTGTGCAGGGCTCTTACCCTAGTTATGCCTGCACATCTTATTCTCCAATTTCAGACAGTTTTGCTGCTTCAAGCCCCACTTAAAAACACACTTTTACTGTGCCAATATGTTGATCTTACATACAAATTGTGCTCCTTCTTTACTATCTGTGTTTTTCTGTGGATTAGCCTGCCCAGTGAGGTTTCTAAGACATGGACTCTCCTCCTTCACCACCTGGACCTTATCTAATAGAATTACTGGTGTTCAAGTAGAAAAGAATGATAAATAAAGTTTGTCTGTAGCAGCCCAGCTTCCTCAATGTGAGTGTTTGGGCCATGCAGGTGTCTTGTTGCGTAATTTTTTGATCCTGTTGGTTCATTTCATTTCTCAAGGGCAAAAAAAAAAAATTCCTCCAGGCTTTTACAACAGACAAGAATTACTGAGCAAACATTTATTTTTTCACCTTTTTCTAAGCC